TTGTAGTCTTTTTATTATTAGTACTATTCTTAGTTTTAGTCCGCAAGGCAATTATAAAAGCCCTTCTTCGGGCCCATGAAACAAATGTTCATCGCTAACGTTTATATAGAAATACACGGTGATAACCAAATAATAGAAGTCAAAAGAACTCCTCATAAATTTTATTTCTCAAACTCATTGCTTTTCTTCACGTACACACTTTCAAGCCAATAACTCACTTCTGTGTCTTGCTCCATACCCATTTTTAAGCTATCCCTCATAACCCTATAGGGGGAAAGGCTTTGTTTATGTTTCCAAGAGTTGCAGCAGTCCAACACGAGAACCAGAGGGGCCAGATGGACGGTATCCAGGAGACCACCCATCCGTTCAAGTGCCTGCGACTGACTGGACACCAAAAGACCCGTCGTGCCAGGCAGATGAGAAAAGCTGCTCCTCCAACCTGGGATCAGATAATAACCTTGACAACAAAGGCTATGGAGATACTGCAGTCCCAAAACCAGCCACAGACCCCTTATGATATGTTTCTGGCCACGTTAGCCATTGTCCATCACCAGTTAACTAAACGCTCCAAAAAGAAATCTCCCTAATATTTACAAATATCAACTGCGGGGGACTAAGAGATGCATCCGAAGTGAAGGAGAGGTTGGTGGTACGACTCCCACTCTTGAGAGGTTGATGGTTTGCCTCCCTCTCTCTAAGGAGAGGTAGATGCTATGGCGTCTGCTCTGGTTGCGTCCTTGGCCAACGTCAGCCACCACAGAGGAAGGCAGTCTCCGTCACCCGTAGATAATAAAATATATATTGAACATTCTACTAAATGTAAGGTTCTTTAAAACAAATTAAAAAGGGGGAGATGTGGGAGTCGTCTCAGAGTACTGAGACCCTAGGTTGACTGCAGCTGGAGAATGACACGTGGTTACAGACTCCCAAGTTCTGTGTGCTGAGAAAAAGACTGCAAAGCTGCTTGTTAGCTGAACAGCAAAAAGGGGAACTGCTAAAATCAGTAACCCAACAACGCCTAGCTCACCTCCTGTGCCTTGGAAAACCAGAAGCTCCTAAACCACAACCACCAGACCCTCAGATGTTACAGTCTATGGACTTATGAACTCTTGGGACTTTTCCATCATGGGCTTGCTGACAGTTGTTATTTGCCTTGAATTTCACTTTGTTTAAAATATATTATTAGTTTATGCTGTATGATCATGTAACCTGTTGCCAAGACATTGTCTCACCTCCAAACTCCTAAGTCAGGAACATTGGTTCCTCCTTCCCCAAAACCCCCCTAACACACCCCTATGCTTAGATAAGATTTATTCCTGGTAAAAGAGGAACTTGCTCTCTATATAAGCACTATGCCTTTTAATAAAATTTGTCCTGATTGCCATCTGCAGTCAGTGACCCTCCTAATCCCAACTTCGGTGTCTATGCCATTCTTTCATTTCTCATTTCCTCGCGCCAATCAATCCTGCTCAGGGACCGTTCGGTGGTTTCCTGGCCTGATCATCCACGGACCACGGCTGTCGAGCCGGCTCTCGGCATGTGGTGACTTGACTTTCTGGCCGTGAGGCTCAGGGACTGTCCCCCGCTGTGCTGTGTGCAGGGTCCCCCGTGTGTTGTGTGTTGGGTCGGCTGAGGAGCTCATGGGGGGGGGGACCTGTCACCTGTTTTGTTTTGGTGATGGCATTTCCCTCTGAAATAGGGAAATTTCACATGATCCCCGTCTCTGCAGGGCTCCCCACTTGTCCCAAGTGTTGTCACCTTCCCCCAGCCCCGAACCTTTCCTAACTTCTAGTTTGGGTTGCTTTATCTCCTGACAGTGGGTTGGTTCTTCTTGCTTTTCTGGTTGTATTTGAGAAGGGAACTGGCCTTACGTGTGAGACAACGGAGGCTCAGGCACGAGGTACTCAGGCTGGGAAGGCCGGCCATTGTGTGTGTGCATGAGTGCATGTGTGCATGTATGGACGTGTGTGAATGTGTGTATGTGGCTCTTCCTGGTCGTCTACAAGGAAAGCCCCCCGACAAACATGGTGGTTGATTGAAAGATGCATGGCTGGGGGTGCAGCTGGGTGGGGGGAACTGGGCATTGAGAACCCACCGTCCCCAGCTTATCCAACCTCCTCAGCGTCATGTGACCCTACAGTGTCCTGCATGAGGTTCCCAGCTGGCCTCTTGCTGGGCACGAGGAACCGTACCCACTGTGTGTGAATAATCCAGTTACCACCCCACTTTCAGCTGGCTTCACACTTCACCCCTCCCTGTAAAAATGGATTGAATGAAACCTAATCGGCACTTCCGATCCCGTCTTCTCACTCTCGTTTTCAGCTTTATTGAGGTGTAATTAACAAGTAATCGTACATATTTAAACTGTAGACGATGATTTGATATACGTATGCCTTGTGACAGGGTCTCCATGACAGGGCTAGTTAACACATCTGTTGCCTCACCAGGCAAATTTCAATCACACCATGTAGTCAGCAGCTATGGTCACGCACTACTCACTGAACCCTCAGGCCTGTGTCCCTCTGACCAGCATCGCTCCCACCCACCCCCCAGTCCCTGGCAGCCACCATCTACTGTCTGTTTCTGTGAGTGTCACTCTTTTATTTTTATGTGTTTATTTATTTTTAAAGACTTTATTGGGGAGTTGGGGGAGGGGAACAGCGCTGGGGAATCGGGGGAAGGGGAACAGACAAGTTGCTGTCCTTTTGTTCTTCAGTCTAGTTGTTAAGGACGTTGCTTCACTGGCCCAAGTTGGCACCATCATTGCGCTCTTCCCGGGCGAGGCAGATCAGTCGCCGGCTTCTGGACGGCCACTCACGGTGACTCTTGGCAGCTCACGCCGTCTGCCGGCCACTCACAGTAGCTCATGGCAGCCCACTGCAGCCCCACTGCAGCCTACACCGTCGCTGGCGACTCACGGCAGCCCAGCTCCAGGTCGAGCTGTTGTTCACCATCTTAGCATCTTAGAGGGCACAGCGTCACTGGCCCTCATGTGGGATCCAAACCTGGGCCCTGCTGCTCAGAGCTGGTGCTCCCAAGCCAACTCTTAACCTACGCGCCACTCGGCCGGCCCTGACTGTTTTATTCTTAGAGCCCATATCGAAGTGATATTAAGGTCCCATTTTAAATATTTAATTAATGTCTACCTCAGTACCAACATGCCATACTTTTACTGAAGCACAACAATTTTTTCCACCCTTTATGTTAAACACATGTGCACGCACTCAAAAAACAGCTTTTATTGACTATTGAGTATTAAGTTCGTGGCCCAGTTTTAGGGGCCGAGGATACAGAGGGAACAAGACGGAAAAATTTTCCCTGCCCATATGGGGCTCACCTTTCGGTGGGGAGAGAGTGACAATCAATGAAATGAACATTTAAGATATAAAGGATTTCAGGCTGTGAAACGTGACACTGAGAGGAAAGAGCAAAGCGGGTTTTGGGGATGGGAGGCCTGGGCGTCAGGATGAGATCTGGGACCCACCTGAAGGAGGTGACGCTCATAAAGGAACCCACGACCCACGAGCAACGCCGGTCTCAGGACCCCCAGGCTTTGGGAAGCGCTGCTGTAAATGAGGTGGACTCACTGCGGCGGCGTATGATCCAGGAGTGAGGATGGTGAGGACTGGATGTCATCGCTCACTCCCGTCTGGGATGTGAGTCCACAGTGCGTGGACAGCTGGGGGGCAGGCTCTGCCCAGGTGGCTTCTATCCAGCTTTATGACTTGCCATTTATGACTTTATGACTCCGGCCATTGAATTGGGGTGCCTCCCAGTGCCCCCCCCCCAGTGCCCGATGATGATTCCTATGATTGAGAGAGGAACACACGGGCTTTGTTCAGTCTCGGAAACGGGAGCGACCCATGTGTTTCACAAGCAGCTTCATGTTCCCGTTGAGACCCGGGAGAAACCCAGCCTCTGCCGCCCTCCCTGCGCAGCGCGCACGTTCTGCCCCGACGAGGCGGTGGGCCGGACTGAAAACGGGTGAAATGCAAAGCCAGAGGCTGTAAATTAGTTCCTCCTGGCAACAGGATAAAGGTCGTACAAATAGCTCCGGTGCATTTGGCATTCCCAGCTTCTCAGCAGCTCCAGGTGAAAGTTCACAGGGATGGTCTGGGACCAGCGGCCAGTCTCGGGCCACCAGACGGCCTGGGCTGCAGGCACGAGTTAAAAGCTCCGCCCCACGATTGGACATCACGCTTTTTTCCTCTCTCGTGGACACTGGAAGTCATTTTCGTTTCCACTTTAGGCAGGATCCTTGGGTCAGGACTCCATTCCCATTTAAAGGCAGGACCAAGGCAGCGTATCAGCTAACATTTAATGGGTGTTCCTTTCTACCGTATAATCATCATGAGGGCGAACATTTATTGTGGGATATTTTTGCTTTGCAAAGAGCAGCGAGCGTTTACGGGGTGCTCCGTCATTCCCAGGGTCTGCTCAGAGAGCCTTATCTGTATTGGCTCATTTGCCATGGCAGCCCGGTCAGGAGGAAGTCCATTTTACAGACACATTTTGAAACAGAGAGATACAGGGACTTGCCTAAGAGCACACAGCTCGTCGGTGTTGGAGACGGTGCTGAGAGGGACGTGTTATTTATATCACACAGCAAATTACAGCTGTGACTATAATTGTGTGCATGTGTGTGTGTGTGGGGGGGTGTTCATGTATTTGGACTGGATCGGAGAAACTTCTGGTCTTGAATAAACCGAGTTGCAGGCTGGCTGAGGGCCTGACCGTTACCACGTTGAGGACACGTTCCCAGATGCTGTGAGGGGTCTGGGGTCTGGTGCAATTCCACGGGGTACCTTGTAAACAGTTCCATAGCTTTCATTCATCTCTGAAAGAGTTAAAGAGAAAGACGGGCCGGCACTGGTGTGGAGGCACATGGGTGGGGTTTATCTCTTCTCCATCCATAGATCACCTCCGTTCTGTCTCTGGCAAGCAGGACTCGGCGCCCAACAGAGCTTGCGGGGCGTTGCTCTGTTTGTTCCTGCTTGCATGCTGCACGGTCCCCGTGAGCAGGCACCCGGGGCTGTCTGCTTGGCTTCGGAGCCAGGGGTCCTGGAACTGCTCCCCGTTGGTCTGATCAGACTGGAGTTAGGACCCAGGAAGGACTCCGCAGCCCCGGGATACAGGATATAAATAGAGGACAGAACAGAACAAAGTTTGAGGAGGGAGCCTTACATCACTCCGTCTCTCCACCCAGAGAGCTGTGTGTCGAGAGGTGTAAGCTTGAGTCAGTCCAGGAGTTCTTGGCTGGGCACCAGCCCAGGAGCGGGCAGGGGCGCCGGGACAAAGTTCCTTTGGAAGGCCTCTTGCTCTGCCGACTTCAAGGAGAGGGAGACGTCCAAGTCCAGCCCTGGATGGAGACGACGAAGGCTCTTGCATAAGGAGGGCGCAGTGACCGCCGGCCGAGCCCCCTGCCCCTTGGCGTGCTGCCGTGGGTCTGGCATTGCTTGCCCAGGACCCCGTGTGGCGGGTTTCTTCCTCCCAAGCCCCACAGCCCATCTGGTTGTCACAATGTGCGCGCTGATCACCGAAGACTCTCAGGTCTGGAGACGAGGAAGAAGCACACACTAACTCTGCGAGACGCCCGCTTTCAGACTTTGGAGAAACATTTGTTTTTGTTCTCTGGAACCTGTGAAAATGTCCCTTCCCCGAGGAAGTGAAAGTTAAAGAGGACACTTTGTCGCCGACCCTCAGGAATTTCACGTGGCTCTAGTCCAACCTCTGACACCATGGGGACGCTGCTGCCTGTATGTCGCTGGCACTCCTGGCTGCTGTTATTTTATTGCAATTTTCAGGTAATGTCCCCAGGCGGCCGTCACGGCGACTGGGGGAGGCTCGGCTGGGAGGTGAGCACGTGTCTTACCCTGTGCTATTTTGTGTGCAGGTACATCGAGCCCACGCCGGGTCACAGCCACATCCAGGTAAGGGGGCTTCCGTCTTGTTCACTGCACTACCTGGTCTTCTGGCCTTGTGGGCACCTGGACCGATTTATCCCCGAGGCTGTCGGGTGGCCCTGCTTTGGCCTCCTGTGGCCCAGCCAGTTGCCTGCTGTATTTTGCCCCCTGGGTCGCTCTGCTCGTAATCCATGTGCGACCTCAGGGTCCCCAGCTGCGGCTTGAGAGGCAGGTGTCTGCCCCCAGGGTCTCTCGCTCTTGGTTATTTGAAACCTTGTGATTAAGGACATGGGACGTTCTCAGGCTGAACGTTTTCTGTCTGTCTCAGTCGTGTGTGTTCAGGGCAGAACCACTGAGCTGACTTCATCTCAGCCCTTCAGCCTCAGGGCACTATCTCCCCTCTGTCACCGTCCTGTGCATGGGCCATCGACGCCTGCAGCCACACTGAGATCATACAGTGGCTGGAGTGCCCCTCACCCCTGGCTGGGCCCCCTGTCTATTGCTGTGTGAGTCGCCGGTCTAGAAGCATTTCAGCCAGACTTTCCTGGGCATGGGGGGGGACAGAGGAGGCATACAAGCTGTCACGGAACGCGGGGTGGGGGCTCCGTGCAGATGGGGCGGTGCAGGCGTGTGGACAGGAGCAGGGCACGCGTGAGCAGCCGGGATCGCCTCGCTGGCGGCTGTCCCGCATTTGCTTCCTGGCCAGCACACGCGTGGTGGAAAGGAGCCCCACAGCAGTGTCCCCAAACCCCCAAGCTATTGGTGAGCAGGCCTGTGACACGGGGTCCCCAGGAACAGCCCTGCCCCCTCTGGGGACCAGCCTTTAATGACCCACCAGCACGGCCGGCCCAGTTACGAGGCAGGTCCTTGGACACACCAGGAACTTGTGGGGTGACGTTAGACCTGGGGAGGCACATCTGTCTCCTTTGTGTTGTGACACGGCACAGAGCCAGGATGTTCCGACCGTCGAGCTGCTTCAACTTACCCGTGCCCGTGGCAGAGGTGTTGCCAGTGGTCTCCCACCCACGTGTTCTAGTTAAACCTTTTGTTGAAAAAGGCGTGAAAGCAGTGAGTTTCCACATGCTCCCCTTCCCTCAGCTACAATGCTGACAGAAAGAACGGGATTTCTGTGGCTTGGGGAGAAGTAACACCCAGCGTCGCGTTAGAGAGAGGACGGGCGTGGGACTCTCCCCTTCTCCAGTGCCGGCTTCGTGGAGGGGACAGTGTGCTCCACCAGGAAGGTCAGGGTGGACGGGCAGCCCCCAGAGACCCGGCCGCAGCTCAGTGTGAGGAGAGGAGCGGGGAGGGGTTTCCCGGGTCGGGCCTGGGCCACGTCTCATCCACACATGCCCACACATGCCCACGTGCATCCACGTCACATCCACGTCACATCCACACATGTCCACGTCTCGTCCACACACGTCCACACACGCCCACATGCATCCACGTCTCGTCCACACACGTCCACACATGCCCACGTGCATCCATGTCACATCCACACATGTCCATGTCTCGT